AAATTAAATTTCTGTCACAGAGATCCAATAGAGTAGACGCAGTCACGCGGTTCTAGGGGTTGCGATGCCTAGGGGATGCCGCACCAGAGTATTCGGCTCGGGCCTGTTTGAGTCGGCTCGAAGGTTCACTTATAATTAGAAATCCGACAGAAAATTGAAAATTTTCTTGTTTAGAATCGAGTTCCTTAATGCATTCATCGTCGTGTAACTAATTAATACTCAATTAAATCTGTTTTTTGTTGCAGAGACGAGCAGTCGACCCTAAGGTGATGCTACGCCGGAGGATCCGGCTCAGGTCTGGCAGAGTTGGCGCAAAAGTGAGTTTCACTAATTTGAATTCATAATTCCGATAAAACTGGAAATTCTCTTGTTTGAAATCGAGTTCCTTAATGCCTTCATTGTCTTGTGTAATACTAAATTAAATTTGCTTTTTGTTGCAGAGACGAAACAGACTACCAGCCGACTTATAGAGACCGTTGCGCCAGAGGATCTGGCTCGGGCCGAGCGGGGTTAGCGCGAAGGTGAGCTTCATTAATTAACATTTGTAATTAAAAATCCGACAAGATTGATAACTCTCTTGTTCGAAATCGAGATAATTTGAATCGAATCAAAGATCGCGTTAAATCGTAATTACACGCGGGGAGAAGTTTTTCTGAGTAACATCACCATTTGAAAAATTTTGATTTGTTCTGATTAAGAAATTTATTTGCAATATTGAGGAAAAGGAAAGTGGAATATTATATTCCAAGTGTGAATGCATTCCGAAAAATTCTTCCAGCGTGAAAAATATCGCGTTTTTTATTTTTTTTTAATCCTTCAAACTTCTTCAGTCAAATCGTCATCAATGCACGAATCTAATCGGCGAAATGGCATTTTTCTGTTTCAGAAACGAAAGCAGAATGTGGCTACCCTGATAAGCGGTTTGGTGAGTCAAAATATATTGATAATAGAAAGACAAAAAGTCTTTCGATGTAGTGCATGCTTATCAAATCAATGCGATTTATTTTGCTGTAGTTGTAGTATGTATAGGTGCAGTTAAAAATGTGTATGTGTACGTCCAATAAAAATTACACTGCTCGAAATAATTGAAAGATCGCTTTTTTAAATAATATTAGTGATAATGGATATTTTATATAAATTTGGCAAATAAATTTTCAAATATTTTTCTTCCAATGTATATATATTTATAAATTGATGAACTTAGATTATTGATTGGTCGACAATTTTTGTCGGAGGAAATTTTGATTAATTAAAGCGCAACACTATCTGGTAGATGTTTAAAATATTGAATATACGCTTTGAATATTCAGAATTTTTTAAAATTATTCAGGTTTATTGAATGCGATCTTTCAGGTGTTTCGAGCAGTGCGCCAACACGCAATAAAATTGCGCCACAGAAAATGCACAATCACACCACCCACGTCACAAATCTTCCGCCGGTCGTCAATTTTCTCTCTCACGTGAGCTTGAATCGCGATTATATTTCATAAAGTAGAGTTTGTGCTTCGTTATTAAGTAAAATTCGATATCGTGTGGCACTTGCGCGAAGCGATCTAACGTGATTATATAAACTGATTATATTATATAAACTGCCCGCAAAATTAATTTCACGATTGTCACAGAAAATTTTCAGGTTTCAATTTTTCACTTAGAATTAGAGTTTCTTAATGCGGGACAAATAGAGACAATGGTAGCGAGCGTTGATCCCTTGCGAAAAACGCGATGTACACAAGTCAGACATGCAAGCATTGTTTGTTTACTTACGCGATAGGTTCCATCGAACGAAGACAGACGTCACGTGATAATTTTTTTTGCGTGAATTTTGAATAGAATCTTTATCTCTATCGTCACAATTTTCATAGTTTTTAATTTTTTATTCACGCTAGCGTTCGCGACTATTAATTTGATAGGTTTGCGAATTTCACCGGATTGTATTTGCGGAAGAGTCGCGAGTAAACTTCGCAAAAGTATTGTGGAGCTGTTATCCGCAAAAATATTGCGGAATGATCTTTGCAAAGGTATTGCGGAGTTATTATCCACCAAAATATTGCGGAATTGTCTTCGCAAAAATATTGCGGAATTGTCTTTGCAAAAATATTGCGGAGTTGTTATCCGCAAAAATATTGCGGAGCTGTATTGCAGCCTACTACGCTGCTCCATTGACACGTTACATTAGGGATATTCCTTGTCGTACGTGAGAGTTTCGCACAGATGATTTCAGCTACGCGTCGAAAGATTTCGCGAGATCGGCCTTCGATTCGTATCGCGTGTTCCCTTCGCTCGCGGATTCCGTTTTCTTCATAAGCGATTCGCGTGGCGCGTGTTTAGCGATACACTACAACTCGATCGCACTGTTACTGAATTCATCGCACATACTCGTCGTTTATTCGAAAGGCCTACATTTCCTCGAAGACGCAGTTTGCGATATTTCATACGCAATTCGCATCTCGAAGTGTATCCCACAAGAAAGACGGGATTTTTCGTGAAACCTCCGTTAGACTACCGCGGTCGGGAGTGAATTACAGGCACCGTGATTCGAGGATCATTGCAGTGTCAGGTGCAGCGACAGGATGGCTGGTGGACCCTGGACACCGTGGGACGACGCGCAATGGTGAGCGCTCAATTTAGACACTGATATAGTAGACATAAAGCGTCACTTTATGTAGATGATATGCACGTAGACGTAAATCGCATTGGGTCCGACGGGAACTAAAGTAAGAATTGGAATTTGCAATTCGTCGGAGTTACGTAAGAATGATCCAACCAAAGAATTTAGCTCTGAGATTTTCGCAATAGTTCAACGAGTCAAGCATTTCTATTTCTTTAAGAGACTTAACTGACTAGCCCAATCCTTAGAAAAATGTGCAAAAATACGCGACTAATAAAAAATATAAAAACTGTTTTTTAGTTCATTTCAAGCATCTATAAGGCTTGATTTTTTTATTTGGATTAAAATGTGAATGAAGTATTCATTGATAAAAGCTTATAATTTTTTTAATTTAATCATTCTTGCATAACAGTGGCCAATTGAAATTTCGACTTGGCAAGCTTCTTTTTCGTCGGATTATTTCTTGATGATATATTAAACTGATACATTTCAACATGTCATATTTATTTGCTCTGTATATGTTATATATGCTTCTTTTATGCTCTATGTATGTTTTATATATACTCTATATATGCTCGATACATACTATTAGATTAATATACTTTATAATTTGTTATGTCGTATTATATACGACATACTATCTCTTAGGAGATATTTTCTTATGCATACGCATTTGTTGTTAACAAGATGACAATTAAATTTCGACAAATTAAAGATAACAAATTAAATTATTAAGCCGAGATTCGGACCTGAGTGTTTTGAGAATCCGCTAAACCATTAAGCCGAGATTCGAACCGATGGGTTTTCAGACTCCGCTAAATTATTAAACCGCGATTCAACCGAAGTGTTTTGTGTTTCCGCTAAATTATTAATCCGACACTCGAACCGATGTGTTTTGTGTTTCAGAAAAATTATTAAGCCGAGATTCGAAACGAAGTGTTTTGAGTCTTCGCTAATTTACTAAGCCGAGTTAATTAAGGGATAATTTTTTAAATTTTTCTAAAGAAATTTTCGTGTTTGCAAAGGCGTATTTTCGAAAATGACGTGAAGTTTGACTATTTCGCTCTGCATCGTCTCCCGGATTACGTGGTATGCTCCGCCTCATTTTCGGACGTACTTTCATCATGTAAAAGAGTTTTTAATTCGACGCAGAAAGAAGTAAACTTTACAGAAAGATTCGATATCATAATAGAAACCGTTCCTTATCGTTTTCGTCTCATATTGATGGATACTCCGCTTTATTTTCGCACATACTTTCACCATGTAAAAAGGTTTTTAATTTTGTCGAATCAGCACGAGACAATAGTTTTGCAGAGGTATTCGATATCACGTCAACGACATTTCCCAACAAATTTTACTTTGTGTTGATTTAACCAAATTAAAAATGCTTTTGTATAATAAAAGTACATACATAAATGAAATAGAGCATTTCTACCCCAAAGATGAAAACGAAGTGGAACTATTGCTATCGTGACACTGATTTCAGTTTTCAATTTTTCAAAACATTTTTAAAAAATAACAGTATACTGACTGCTCCAATTTATATGATAAAATTACGTGCGAAAATAAAGTGTAATAGTCAATCATTAAATAAAGTGTATTAGTCAATCATTAGCGAAATGAAAATGATATTTCAAATTACCGTTGCTAATTATATTGAAAACTTAAATAATAGGTAACGTATTTTTCAAAAAATTA